AAACTCTGTTACCTTATTACATATTAAGTAATAAAAATTATTCTTTTTATTGGATCTTTCTTATGTATTGATCTATTTCTTTTGCTGCCAACCCCACAATTTATGGCTTTAAAATGTGATCTGACTTTTGGTAAGGTACATCCCCTTTCATTATCCATTCAATGATCTTTTAAAAAAAATTGTTCTCCATGTATATTTTAGATGATGAAAATTAGGAACTGCTTATGTTTTTTGTTAATTAAGCCCCAAATTGTGATTTATAATCACAAGAACACTGACTTAAGATCATGGAGAATATAGACAAGAAAATGACAAAATTCCTGCTCTCAGATGGTGATCGAATGTATGGAATAGATTTTTTTTTTTTAATATTTATTTTTTAGTTCTGGGTAGACACAACATCTTTGTTGGTATGTGGTGCTGAGGATGGAACCCTGGCCGCACGCATGCCAGGTGAGCGCGCTACCGCTTGAGCCACATCCCCAGCCTGGAATAGATTTATAATCTAATTCTCAGATCAGGAAAAGGAGACAAGATAGAACATATACTGATCACCTTATTATACAGTTAAATATTTATTAGGTCTTAAAACTGAGCACATATACAAGAAGTAGCATGGCCTCTCTTAGGTGTTTAATGAGGTTGTTGTAGTAGTTTTACAGACAACCAGTTCCCTTAGGCTATCTTAAAGTTGTAAAGAATAGAACAGGTGCAGCCTCATTTTGATATAGTGTTTCTGAAAACTAAACACTTAGAAATTCTTCCTTTTTCTTTCTTTTTTTGGGGGGGGTGGTGGTGGGCAGAACCTTCTTGTTCTTGGATGTCTTCAATTACTGATGTTATGAATTCTTAAATTTCAGTTTATTATACTATGACACTAACTAATTTTCTGTTAGATATACAGGATTGATTTCATTTTTTTTTAATATTTATTTTTTAGTTATCGGCAGACACAACATCTTTGTTGGTATGTGGTGCTGAGGATCGAACCTGGGCCGCACGCATGCCAGGCGAGCGCGCTACCGCTTGAGCCACATCCCCAGCCCTTGATTTCATTTTAAACATGTTTTCAATTGGGTAATGATCTAGCTATCAGATATCCCTAAGTAATTTTATTTCATAGACTATTTTCTTCTGCAAATTCTTTATATGGTTACTCTGGAAACTAAATCTAACACAGTTATAATTAAAACTTTTATGACCAGAGCCCCCAGATTTATATTCAGGGATCTTTTCATTCCTTCATATAAAATGTTTATTATGTAACAAGTTATAAAATATTTTTCTGGTCCCTTCTATGTGGTATAATTGTTATAACTTAAATGCACAATCTAGGTGTCATAAGGCAACCATTTTTAGGCATTTTAACGGATGTATTAAAGGGAGAAGTAGAGTTGGGAATGTGGGTCAGTGGTAGAGCCTTGGCCTAGCATGGGCAGAGCATTGGGGTTTAATCCCCAGCACCATAAAAAGAAAAACAATAAATAACTAAAAGGGAGAAATAAATTTGCACTAGGAAAATCCATATTAGCTCTATGAAGAAGACTGCTGTGGGTTTAAGTGAAGAGGAATGTGTAGGACTTCAAGAAGCACATAAGAGGCAAGCCATTCTAGATAACGGAGGATCCCAATATCATGTTAAATGCAGGAAAGACACAAAAATGTATTGGATACTTCATTATAATGTTATATTTTTTATAATCATCTTCTAGATATGTGTTGCAAGCTACTAAATAATTTTATTGACATCCTGAAGCTAAGATTTGTTCTAAACCCAAATATAACTAACGGGCTGGCCAGTGGCAGTCTGTTAGACTAACATGCTGGTCAACAGAAGATTTCACTATAGAATACTCTATGGTGATCAGCTAATACAACCTCTGGCTGAGGGATATTCTTCTAGGAGACTGGCAGAGTTTCAACAACTAATTAGGTTAGCTTATGCATTTATTTATTGGGTATCTTTTATATCCTAGGCACTATTCTAGGCAGTGGAAATGTGACAATAGATAAGCTGTAACTCTGCTCTCTTGGGGTCACCATTCTAGTAGCTGGACACTAAAAAAGGTGAACACATTGATTTCAAGACAACTTGTATTGTGATAAGTGATACGTAAAATATAAAACAGGTTGTTTTGATAAGAAAAGCAATGGGAGGGGCCAGTAGGGATGACTTTTGGTTTAGATTTCAGTGAAAAGACACATGGAGAGAAACCAGTAGGCAGAAATCATGAAGGAAAAAACCTCAGAAGCAGAGTAGAAATAAAAACAGAGACGTGAACACTTTGTCAACTAACAAGAAGTACTTGTGAGTCCCCAATACTACTTCTTGAGTCTGACTTGTATCATTCCTGTTATCTCCTGAATATATCCATAAGCAGACATATATATTCTAGCTGCCATCTTTATTTTACTGTAGGATCTATCTATGGATTTATCCATCATCCAGTCATTTCTATACGGAGGGACAGATTGTTGTTGCCAATACTTAAACTCCTTAATATCGCCGTGAACATTCTTGTACACACTTTTTCAGGTATATGTGTGGGATTTTAGTATTTACCTGGAATTGAAATTGTTAGGTAGAAAAGATGCTTATCATCATTGGTATTAAATATTGCCAAATTATTTTTCAAAGTTTGTTTATTTTTCTGATACCAGAGATTGAAACCATGAGCACTTTATCACAGAGCTACAACCCCAGTCCTTTCTATTTTTTATTTTGAGGCAGGGTGTCACTAAGTTTCCCGGGTAGGCCTCAAATTGGTAATCCTCCTCCCTTAATTTCCTATAGCTGATGATATAGATATATTAGCCACAATGCCTAATTTCATTGCTTTTTAAAATAATAATTTAAAAAAGTCCACTTGGCATTGTCAGACTTCAAAATTTTTTTCCAATCCAATGGGTACAAAATGGTATCTCACTGCTCTTTTAGGCAAGTGCTCTATCAAGCTATACTTCCAGCCCCCCATTGTTTTGATTTATATTGCCTTGGTTATTAGGGAGATATATCTTCATAAGCTTATTGGATATTTGGGTTCCTCTTCTGAGTACTGATATTCTTTGCCTGTTTTTTTTAACGGTGGTTTGACTTTCTTATTTTCGAGTAGTGTTTTGAATATAAATACATCTTTGATCATAAACATTGAAATTATCTTCTCTTTTTATAACTTGTTATTTAATTTTGTGGTTTCTTTGGTTCTAAATAAGTTGTCCAGGTTGACCTGGAACCTGTGATCTTCCTGCCTCAGCCTCACAAGTTGCTGCAATTTTGTGGTGCTAGAGATTGAACCCAGGACCTTATGCATGCAAGGCAAGCACTCTGCTAAGTAAGCTATATCCCCAGTCCCTATCTTTTTAATTTTTAACATTATGTTCTTCATATAAAAAAATTCTTATAGGTATGTGGATTTTTTTTTTCCCCTGGGATCTTTGTCCATACTAGTGTATTTATCCATTCCTAAACCAATTATATAATAAGTCCTAGTAAGACAGGTCTTTCCAACTTCATCTCCAACATTATGTGCATTCTGCAAAAAACTGTGGAAGCATTTCTTTGACCTTAAGTTTTGGTATGAATTTCAATGTCATCTTAACAAGTTCCGTGACAAATCTTGTTGAGATTTTAACTGCCATTGCATTGTATGTATTGATTAGTTCAGGGAGAATTGAGATCTTTGTAATAATCATTTTATTTATGAATATGGTTCATTTTTCCATTAATATAATTACATCTTTAAATGTCTTATACCTTGTTAGTTTTATTCATTGACACCTAATAGTTCAAATTTTGGAAGTATTAGATGTTATTTCCCCCTAATTGGAAGGAATGCATAATCTAGTGTTCCCTGGAGTACATAATTTTGTTTTCTTTTTTTGTGTTGGGGATTCATCCCAAGGCCATCCACACATAGCATGTGATTAAAGAAAATGCCTAAGTAGGGAAAACGTTGAACCAACTTCCCTACCATTATTGTACAACTCCATATCTCCTCTTTTTTTAGTTTAGGAAGTTTAATGTTATCCTTGAAGTATTTGTTTTGTGAATTACGAAGGTAAGTAGGTTCTTTTTTTGACAATCAGAATGTAAATTTTTGCCAATGAGATAAACATTTTGAATGGTAATTGAGTCCAGTTAGGGGTTTAATTTACTACTAACAAATGTATTCACTGTGAACTAAGGTCAAAGTCTGAAATCAAATCCTAGTCTACTTTATTCCATCATAAAATAAAACTAGTAAGTCCTTTCACATTACTTGTAGATTATCCAGTTTCCAGCGTTCCTTTACCAGGAGATATAGCTGTTGAATGATACTGACACTAAAGGTTTCATGGTAGCATTCTGTGAGCTTTCAGGACCCACTCAGGGATGCCACGACAGTCTTAAGAGTTGCTGAATCTCAAAACTAATTTTCCTTCCATCCCTTTCATCTTCATCCCAGACAATAACCTTGTTATTCAAAGTTCTTCCAGACTTTGAATAACTCTCAGTATGGTCAAACATCTGACACTATATATAACACTTTAAATGTTGTACTTGTTTTACCCAAATATCTTAACTAAATCTGTCCCTAATATTATGATCTCCATACGCTGCCAATGGGAAATCAGCTGCTAACGCAAACTATGTGATCCCAAGTACACAGCAGCTCCAGGATCAAAACGACCAAATTAATCCAGTCTGCCTAGTCTCAGGCCAAGTTCACAGCCTTATCCTGGGGTTATTTCAGGACGTGTCCCTTGCTCCCCCCGCCCCCAGCCCTCAAACCCTCAGCCCTAACACCCCTCAAACCCTCATGACCCTCCTGATCTGGGGAACCAAAGCTTTAAAGCCTTGCAGGGTTTGGCAGGACTCCGACTCCATCCGGGGGGGAGGGGGCGGGGGGAGGAGAAGCCCGGTGTATTCCAGACTAACAGCGCTCGGGGGGCCTAGTACCATCTCCGCGGCTTGAGACCCTGGGGCGGAGCAGCCACCCCATTGTGCGGGAGGTTAGAAACCCAGCTGGCTCCTGACGCAGCGGAGGCTCCGCCCCGGGCGTGACGCCAGCGTCAGGCCAGTCCCGGCAGCCTCCGCGGTCGACCGCGGTGGATCGCAGAGGAATTTTCCCCGTGAGCGGCCCGGGCTCAGTTCAGCAGCTGTCCAGACCCCGGTGGGCGATAGTGTCGCCTCCAGCCTTTCTCCTACCGCCCTCCCGTCCGTTCGAGCGCCCCCAGCCCTCCCGCGAGGGCGCCCCGGGACGGAAGGAACCACCAGCCTGTCGGCGCCCGCCGTTCTCGTGGTCGCCGTCGCCGTCGTCGTTGTGGTAGTCTCCGCCGTCGCCTGGGCCATGGCCAATTACATCCACGTCCCACCCGGCTCTCCGGAGGTGCCCAAGCTGAACGTCACGGTTCAAGATCAGGAAGAACAGCGCTGCCGGGAAGGGGCCCTGAGCCTCCTGCAACACCTGCGGCCGCACTGGGACCCTCAGGAGGTGACCCTGCAGGTAACGCCCACACCGCAGCCCTGATTTCTCACATCCCGGATGCGGCCCTGGAGGTTTTCGCACATCCCTAGGACCCACGGAACATCTCTTTCCCAGGCTTTTGGGAGGTGACCCTGTATTTCTTCCATCACACCTAGGAAGGTCACTCCCCTTTTCTTCATCTTTGCTCATTAAGATTGCCCCGAGAGCAATTTTTCTTTTTCTCGAAGCCGCTACGTAAGTGACGCACCCTTTCCACACCGGGAAGATTCCTGTTCATAGTTTGCCCCTCCTCCCACTCCCCTGACCATTCTCTCTGCAAAATGAACCTTTTTCATTCCTCTTGCTTCGGGTCCTCGTCTGTCGTTTCAAGCAACCTCCTCCCATAAATAATGCAGTAATTAATCCTCTCTGATCTTTTCCTCCCTTCCCCCGCGATTTACTCCCTTTGATGCTTTATCCTGCATTTATCTTCCCCAGTCTTCAGATTGGTGAGAATTCTCAATTCCAGAGTAATAACCATGGTCATGCATTCTAGATCTGTTTTTTAGTGGCACTGTGTACATTGTTTTGTTTGAATTTATATTTCTAAATTTATATTTTTAATGTTGCCTAATATTTGATGTTAGAATGAGCAGTGGTTTGGGAATATTTCCCTTTCTTGAACCACTGTGTTCATAGACAAAAAAAACCCAAAGAATTCCCTAAGAATCTAGGAGTTTTCTAATAACGTGGGAGTTACGATTTCCTACATGTAACATTTATTTTCAATGATTTGTTTTTAGTATTTACAGTTTGAGTTTTAGGATATTTTACCTGAAAATGAAGCTCCTTTTGTCCTTTTTCCTTGCAAATTAAAATTAATCAATAACTTAAAAGCTGTGATATTTGGGGTTTTTAGATCTGAGCAATAATGTAAGAACATTTATTTGAATTAGCCAAATCATCTGCTTCATTTTGATAACTGCATGCAATAAATTGTTGAATTTGAATATTCAGAGATGTTTATCGATATAATTCTTCGCTAAAGGAACTAGCTACCTATACAAAGATAAGTAAAAATATGATCAGTGACTAGTTCCAAGAATGGTTCCTAACGCTTGGGCTTTCATAAGTTTTAGTTTCAGTTCTTATTGCCTAGGAGAGTTTTGAGCAGATTAAAAGGAACCATATGTTTCAGAAGAAAAGTTAGACAAAGAATTGTGAAATTTTTAAGGGAGTATTTTTTGTCCCAAGTATAAATGAACAGTGAATCCAAAATGATTTTTGTATATAAGTGAAAAAACTCACATATTTCCTTTAAGGAAATGTCTTCCATATTAAAACAACTTCCTTTTTTTTTTTTAAATCTTTTGTGGTGCTGGTGATTGAACCTAGGGCCTTATGAATGCTATGCAGAGAGCGTTTTAGGCAAGTGCTCTACCACATAGCTCTCATATATGCTTGTTATAAACTTCTTTTTAGTTTATTTTAGAAGTTTTCAAAATTTATTAAAATAATATATTTTATGGCAATTGTAAATTAAATATCTTTTATTAAAGGTAGTGCTGTTTCTTATAAACTCTAGTACTGGCAAATCATGTTACTTTTTAAATAGTGATTTTAAAATTGAAAGTTTTGAAGGTTGAAATTTCCTTTGGTGTATTTGTCTATAGAATAATAATAGCTATGGTGAAGTGCTCTGTGCCAGACTGATATATTTAAAAAAAAATTGCCCAAACCAAAACGATATTAGAAAGATACGATTTCTTTTTTTAGGTGAAATAAAGCTAAGGTATAGGTAAACAAAAAAGAGGAAAGGTGATAGTA